TGTTACACGCTATGTAGAGCAAAACTGTTCTTTGGATTTATTTAAAATGAATATCAGACAAATTCCTTTTGACTTCCAAATGTTGTGTAAACATTTGAAACGCAAAACTTCAGGGTGGAGGAAAATATTAACAAAAATGGTTGTAAATTTTTTTTTTCTATTACCCTGTACATTGCTGTAGATGCCCAAAGAAACTTGAGCCATTGCGCTCAAATAGGTTTTCTCTATGATAGAGTGCCCATCAATATTCAGTCCACCCGGTAAAATGGATGAAGAATAGGGCTGCAGAGAGAGAGAGTAAAAGAGACAAAGAGAAAGAGAGGGGGATCAAGAGAAAGAGAGGGGGATCAAGAGAGAGAGAGAGAGAGAGAGAGAGAGAGAGAGAGAGAGAGTGCAACTCATCAACAAGAAAAGCAAGCCCTCTTATAACAGAACGTCATGATTATTCAGCTCTATTTTCTAATTTGCATAATGTTTATTGACCTTGTTTTGTTTGAGGCATTGTCTAAGATTTCTTTCCTATTTTTTATCTCTCTACCCTAACGGCTTGGTCTCTTTCATCACGTTTATAAATACGTACTTATGTTTGTATATCAAGGCAACACAAAGAAAAATAAAAAATAAATTAAAGAGTTAGTAAGACGAGTTTTTTTTAGTTTACCAACAGAATTGATAGAAATCAGCAAAAAGACTTATTGAGTTAGACATATAAATTCAAATCATGTACTATTAAATTATTATTTTTCAATTGCCGTTGGAGTCTGCTGAATTCGATGCGCTGTAGAAGAATGCAAAACTACAACAACAACAAAATATTGGCAAATTCGTATATACGGATATAGTAATTGACAATTGGTATGGTTTATAATCCTTTTGGTTGAAATAAACAGAGACAGGTCTACTTTTTTAAAAATGCTCTAAAAATGTTAAGTAAAAATTGAAAAACAAGAGAATGACTCCATCACAAGCAAAACAAAAGATTTTTTTAAAAAAGTCAATTCTTCCCTTTAGGTTTACACTGTTCTACAATACTCCTGTTTATAAAACTTGTACACATCTAATAAATCACAGTTATTGTAACAGGTCAAAATAAATAACATGAACTCTATTTACAACCAAACTTCAAATAAATCAGACATGTATAAACTCCAGAATCAACCAATCTCACAAAACATCAACCAAACAGATTTTGAGCCAAATTTGATCAATTTCTTGGGGTTTTCTATTAATATAAGATGTTGCGCATAAGTCCCATGGTTGAGTCTTGCTGTGACCTTGTCATGTAACCTTAACATGTCTGCTATGAAGAAGGTCAAGGTCAGCGCATGATGTTCCAGTTGTCTTTCTCTAGGGCTCTCTGGGACTCCAGCATTGAGTATTTTGCCACTGGGGAGGGAAAGTTTGAGAATGAAGGGGAAGAGGGTAAGCAGTGGGGGGGTTGTTGTAGTTCTCGAGAAAACAGTACATGTACTGCGAAAAAAAACCCAACCCAATCAAACTTGACTCAGGTTTCCTTCTTCTTCATGCAATATCCATCAGTCCATCCATCCATCCATCCATCCATCCACTCATCCATCTGTCGGTCCGTCTGTCCGTCCATCCATTTGTCCATCCCTCCCTCCTCCTGTCCGTCCGTTCATCCATCCACCCATGCATCTCTCTCTCTCTCTCTCTC